TTTATTTCCCCTGCTTTATAATTGTATTACTTCTCTATCCTGCAAGTGTATACACTGATTTTCCCCTCCCTTTAACAGAGCAAGCTGTCCATCAAAACTGGCAGTAAGGGCTTGCGCACATGTGCACAAAATACGATGCCTACCTTTTTTTAATGGGTCTGAATGGTACTATAATAAATTCTATGTGGTCATATACACATTTGCATGCAGCACCGTAAACTACAGCCAGGGGTGTCCCTAAACCCCTCCTCCCAGGGGTATGCTGGCAGTACATGACAAAACCAGGGGGGATGTTCTGGCAGTGTATATAAGGGCGATGAGATCAGGGGGGTTGTTGGCGGTGCACAACAATACTTGGGGGTGCTGGTGGTGCATGATGAAACAACCGGAGGGTGGGTGGTGGTATGCTGATGGCACACGGGTAGGGGTTACCTCCGGCATCCCTCCCAGCTCACCGACATCACTAGTTGCCAGAAGCTGGGTGGGATGCCGGCCCGAGAGTCCCAGGTTGCTAAGATCTCTTAGCAACCTGGGATGCTCTGGCAGAAAAGGAGGCGCCTGCTGTCCCCCCAACGTGACCCAATGAGATGCAACCTGAAGCAACTGCCTTAGACTGCTTTAGTATATGGGCAGCCCTAACTACAGCTTTATTCAGCAGCATACAAAAAAATAATTGAAAGATCTGCATGCAAGGTCTAGTATCTGGACTGTATTTTACACTGTATGCTTGTAAACATTTGTACTAACATGTACATGAATGCAGTGCAAATGTACTCTATTGGAGTACAAGAGCCACCTGCGTCCTAGCAACAAAGGGCACTAGGTGACAATGGCTGCCCACGTCCTTCTAACAAAGAACGTTAGACAGCCAGAGCTGCCTGCGTCTTAGCAACTTAGGATGCTAGGTGCAGGAGCTGCCTGTGTCCTAGCAACAAAGGACACCAGGCTACAATGGTTGTCTGTGTCCTAGCAACAGAGGACGCTGGGCAGAAGGAGCTGTCTATGTTAGCAAAGAATGATTCTAAGCAGCAATGACCGCCTGCGTCCTAGCAATCAATAGGCTGTATTCACATTGAACATTTGTACACATGTAAACATTACAGAAACATTACATGTGCAGAGGGTTTAGACCAGCCTTTCAGGGGTGCCTCCCGGCTTACTCAGGGGTGCCTCAAAATTTTCACACAGCGTCATGCCTCTGATGTGTAGGGGGGACTCTAGAAACAATATATAGGGGAGGCACATAAGATACCACAGTCAAAACTGGTGGGGCACTAAAAACTTTCACCACTAAATCATTTGGTCGTCAGGGTCCCTTTCCTTGTACCTCCTCCCAACTCTTCTTACCTGCTGCTGCTGGGGCATGGCCTCCTCCACCCCCTCCCGTCATCTCTGCCATGCCGCCCCTGGTACAGCTGATACCCATGTAAGGGGCCCCTCAGGCTGCCCAGACCCCTCACAACTCTCCCAGACGCTCCCGGAGTCTCCCGCTATAAGATAGCGGCTCCTGGGAGAGAAACATTTTCTCCCGGAAAGGTTTACTCTGCTCAATCTAGCAGAGTAAACCTTTCCTTGCTCTGTTTTTTTGTTTTTTCTTACATCGGCTGCCGTCAGTCAGAAGAAAAACAAAAACAGCATAGGAATGCATAGCTAGATTCCTATGGTCTATTTCACTTTGCAACAGCCAATAGCAAACTAGCTATTGCACCCACCCTCTGATGCTGTCAATCAGCAGAGGGGGACCTGAAGTTTTCCATCGGGTCCTCTTCTAGTGATTGACAGCAGCAGAATACTAAAAAAAACAAAACCTCCAGATAGCAAAGAAGCTATCACTTCCTGTGCTATCTGTTATCATTTCAGGGCGGTGCTCTCTTGCCTTCTTCAGGTTGGGATCCCGGTGATGGCGGTGTTTTATCAAAGTTTGTGACTACGTTAGAATGTGTCACCGGTGACGTGGTCACATATTTTAATGTAATCCCGTCCAGTTTTTTGGCAGTGGAATGTGTGACCACCAATAGGTGAAGCATTCCAACGCTTTCTCAGCTGTTCCAGGGCAGATCGGCATCGCAAATCGTATGTGCAGGAGAACCGATCTGCCCTGGAACAGATGAAATGTCACTGAAATGTCACTTCTATCCGACTTTGTGAGTGCGGTGGAATGTGAGATCACAGTCGCAAAGTCGGATAGAAGTGACATTTCAGTGACATTTCATCTGTTCCAGGGCAGATCGGTTCTCCTGCACATACGATTTGCGATGCCGATCTGCCCTGGAACAGCTGAGAAAGCGTTGGAATGCTTGACCTAATGGCAGTCACACATTCCACTGCTATAAAAATGGGCTGGATTACGTTAAAATGTGTGACTACGTCCGCCGCCTGTAACTAGGGACGCGGTCGGGAGAGGAGAGCCCGCCCACTTACTGAGTCGGCAGTGCGGGACCCCGTGTTCTAACACCGGGACCCTGCATTGCCCCATAGTCCACGGGGGTCCCGGTTGTTACGCCACTGCATCGGGCATAGCGACCGTGCGGGTCTGATCGCAAGGGAATTTTTACATTTGAGATACGTCTCTTTCTCTCCTACGTTTCTTTCTCTCCTATGGCCACGGAAAGTGAGACTAAAGGTGACTAGGTCAAAACATATCACATAAAACATATCACCTTACATCATCAAGCGGGAAGCCTCGTAACTGTGAGGCCGCTAGCCTAAACCAGTAAACATTGCAGGAAGGTTCTTATATTTGTCAGTTCCAGCGTAGACCCGTTACATTGCTACACAGTAAGATCATCTTGCGAATTAGGATTAACAGGCCTTCAGGATAGTGGCCTGAGACCAGTTGGTTATAAACTTGGCCTGCGGTAGCTCACATGACATAAGGTGAGTAACAACAGGGACTAGTACAACTTAGACATTAAAAGACAAAGGTCACAGAAAAGTATAGATAAAGTAAAGGCGAGAAACCAGAAGGAGGAGTCCTCAGTGGTAAAACCACCGAGTACTCTAGGGCGAGCAAGAGTATGCGGTGTCGTGGAGGGAGATCCTAAAGTGCACCGGTTGGAGCACCCTCCCGTGGGGCGTGCCATCCCTCACCCTGAAAGGGGGACACTGAGATGTAGTAGGTAACCTGCGTGTGCGTCAGTCTTCTACGTGGGTTTTTGCATGAGTTCCTCGTATGTCGTTCCCTGGCAAAAGTGGGTCCAAGGTGCCCATAGTTTGGAGAATTTGGTAAGTTTGTCTTGTTTGGTGAAAAAGAGTGCTTCCATTTCAGCAATGTATTTTCCTGAGTAATCCATTCGGTGAGAGATGGGGGCCTCACCTCTCTATGATTATACTTGTATGTTAATAAATGATTTTGATTTATTAATGTAATTGGGAGATATTTATATATTGTGGCAAGAAATCACCATAAGCTCAAAGAACTCAGAGCATAGATTTTGGGGTGTATTATTAAGTGTCTGAACTAAATTCATACTGTTTATTAAGTTATTTATTATTTGCCGTAATCGGCCTGAGGCACTGTCTATTAAATCTAACTATAATTCAGACACCACCCTATTATTAATAATTCACCAAGATTTTTATGCCACTCAATCACAACAGGAGGGCATGGGAGGAGTTGACGAGGGAGCTAGAGAGCAGGAGGTCTTGGGAGCAGTGGAGGGGGAGGTTAGGGTGATACTTTGAGACGAGTTTGGATTCCACATGCATCACCTCCTCCCCACCTCACGCTTGCCGCTGCCAGACCCGCACGCCCGCATCCACGCTCCACACACCGCACCTCCTCACTGCCTCACATCACCCGACCATTCACACTACCGTTACATGGATGGCAAAAGTGGCAGACGGGCAAGGAGAAGGCGGGGGGAAGAGGCAGAGCGGGAGGGAGGCCAAGTTGCTGCACCATGGGCCTCTAGGTTGTACTTGCCCCCTGGGCTAAAAGTTGCCAGTCAGCCCCTGATATATAGCCAGGGGAAGAGTTGAGGGTGGCTTTGTAAGTGGTTATTAATATTTTTAATATTATCCTTGTTGGGTGATTGGAAGTCACTTTTTAAGTGGTCTTCATGAGTGGGTCATGGTGATGATGGCAGAGGTAAGTACACACAGCATGCCTCCGACTGTCCCCCCAGTCATCTTCCTCAGTCATCAAAAATCTTGGAGGTCTAGGTTAAGAGATCAGTTAATTTGCAAAATCCTTAATCAGATATATTCCGGGCTCTGAATTTAAAAGGTGCAAAAGTTTTTGTGCCATTCAGATTTATTTCTTAAACAATTTATTTTATCTTTTATTAAACTAAAATATATTTATATTCTAAAATATAAAATATATATTTTTGGTTTTAATTTATTCTATTTTTGAATAGAGTATATTTTTTATCTAAATTAATTTTCTGTTTTGTGCTAAGTATTGTTTTACGAAGATTTCACACAAACCTTTTTTAATGTCCTTTTATTTAATGGACATATTCTTTTTGTACACATATTAATCTGCATATATTAATCCAGCACTCTTATCAGTGTCCTCCAATG